GAGTTGCCCTCCTCCAGGGTGTCGGTGAGGCTCCCGTTCAGACTCCTTCCCTAATTTTTCCAGTGAGATGTCTTTTAGGGCGTCTTGGGAGTGTTGGGGTGGGGTTTCGTCTCCTGAGAATTGGATCAGCCGATTTCAGACCCGGCCACCGCAGCGATTGCAGAGGGTTGAGGTCCGTCACCTATTTCTCCCTTGGATCTACACGCTTCCTGTTGTTGGAGTGGTAGATCCAACGGCGGGGTGGTCGATTGCTCGGTGACGGGCTGACTTGTTCGATTTGGTGTTGGGAGTTGCTTGGGGGTGGTGCTCCTGAGAGGGTGTTCCGAGCGGTGGTTCGGTTGGTTGTGCACCGGCTGTTCGAGGTTGCTAACGGGGCATTTTTGTGCCTCGTTATTCGTTTCTCGGAGAGGCGTCGATCAAAGGTGGGGTGTTAGCCGACAAAGTGGAGCCTACTCCTGGAATAGGTCTCGCCATCCTTCTGCATGCTAGGATGGCGTGGCAGGCGACCATTTATGCCGGCTTTTTTCGCAGCGTTGGACGAACCTCTGGAGCTTCTTCGGGATGGGTTGTGGCCTCGTTTACTTCTTTTGAAGGTCCGAGGTGGAGGATTTCGCCATCTACCATCGTGACCCTCCTGTCTGTGGTGTTGGCGGAGGATTTCGGTCGACTAACTTGGGTCGTGGGTTGTGTTCTCGAGTCTGGGCCCGGTTGTTCGGTTGGTTTGGGTGGTGTGTGGTATGGGTCTCCAGGTGTGGGTCTCAGGTACCTGTTGGGACGTATTTCAGGTCAGCTGGCGTCTGATCCAGTTAGGCGAATTGTTAGACAGTTTCTTGGTTAGATTCCTGGACGTTAGCTTTGTCCGTTTGGATGGGTGTCCGTTAGCGTCTTCGTTGGTTGACTTGGTTTGGTTATTGGGTGCGAAGGTGTGGTGTAGTTGTTGGTTTTCGTTTTAGGTGTTGGATGTTGTTTTGTTTGTAGGGTGTGTTTTCTTTTTCTTTCTCTACCGTTGGGAATGTGTTTAGTGTCTTCTCCTGTTGGGAGCTTTTATGTTATTCTCCTTTTGGGAGCGTTAGATGTTTAGTATGTTGTGCAGTGGGTGAGTTAGTGTAGTTGCTTTTAGGCTGCCTCCGGGTAGACCTCCTAGATTCAGTTGTTTGGCTGCTTGGCTATTCTAACTTATTTCTAGCTGAAATTATGTGGCTTTAATTTTTATAAGATTTCTATCGTTTCGAAACAAAACAAAACAAAAAATAATTTATTTCTAGGGTCATCAAATAAAAACTATTTTAATTGGGATTGCAAAATAATCGATGACCACAAGTAATCTATATGTATATAATTATTGGCTAAGCATTAAATAAAATCTAATAAATTTTATCTCATGAATGTTATATACATTGTATTTTCTCATCAAAAGCACAAGACTTTTTTTTCCTTTTTTTTATCAAATATGTTGACTTTACTAATTTTACAAAACACAGTTAACAAAAATAGCTCACTATAAACCATTACATTTTTGGGGCTTTTTATTTTTTTTTCTTTTTTTTTTATTTTTTTACAAACTTTGCTACTTTTGATTTTTAATTAAAATATTAATGTGCCCAATAATCAATAAATTTTCATTATCGAAAAACTTGATTAATTCACCATATTTCAGCTGATTATTTGCAATAATTTATTGAATTTTTTTTTTAGAAATAAAATTGTTTTGATATTTCTCAGTAAATAAATAATAAATCACAATAAATAATGCAGAAAAAAAAACATAACAGAAATTACAACACGTTTATGAAATGGAAAAATTCACATTTTAAAATAAATAATTATTTCACTTGCTCCTTAGATACTTTAATTTCAACCTGCAAAATGAGAGAAAAATCATTACTAATTTATTTTATAAATGTTAATTGTAACCAATATCAAAAAATTATATATTCAATAAAATATCAGCATTGTATAATCAATTTTCATGTGAGATTTAAGTTGAATTCAATGTCCAATCATTATATAAAAACTTCAAATTTTGTAAATTACAAAAATCAGCATTGTATATTATGTTTCACTCAATTTTAGGGTTAAAGTTTTAGTCACAAAATATCACCAGTTTCTTTGCCAAATTCACAACACTCATTTACAAGTAGTATATTTCTCACTCAAAATCATATTTGGCGCTCCCAAAAAAAAAAAAAATCAGTTACGAAAATAACATTAAAAAAGGAGTCCCTATCATTCAAACTAGTATTTGTTCCTGTGCACACGTACAGGAAAAAAAAATTATAATTATATTTATGTATCCAATATTTAAATATTTAATTAGATAATGGATATATTACATGTTCATTTTTTTTTACTATATGCAAATGTATAATATAATATAAATTATTTAACTTACGTACGAATTTTTATACTGATGACATAAATTTAAATGAACAATGTAAGTAAATTAGAGAGACTATACAATTTTTTTTCAAACGACAGAAGGACTCTTATGACCAAGGCAGAAACGAATACAAAGGAATCTTCCGATCCTGAATCACTGAGGGAGCAAGCACCACACGTGTCGCCTAATCCAAACCCACATATCTAACACAAATACCAATACAAATGCAAATAGCACCCTCGTGCACATCAATACAAATACATAACACCTAGCCAAGGCTAACTCAAAAGCAAAAGTTTAATAAGTGGGAGTCAAATATGCAGTGACAATATTACAAATAAAATAACATATTGTAATCAAATATATGTATTTGACAAATCTTAAAGGTAAATTAGATAATTCACACTAACACAAGTGGACCACACCCCAAACCACCCCACCTCTCTCACACACAAACACACACCCGGTGGGATCCACCCAAAGCCAACCCTCTCATTCTCTCTCTTGTACAACACCTACTCTCACACACAACACACACACACGCACGCAGAACACACACAAATACACAATACACACACCTATGCATGCACACACACATAACAAACAGTCATTTTTGTACACTCGCCACTCGCCAACGACCGTCGTTGCCGCTGCCAACCATCCTCCTCCGCCTACCGTCACTCCCGCCACCAGCACCTCCTTCTCCGACTACCGTCGCCATGTCCAACATTTTTTTTCTCCGGTGACTAAATGACAGCACCAAATAAAATTCAGCAATAATCAGAAGACAAAGTGGCCATGACTCTCCTCCCCGCATTCATCTCTGATGGCCCCGACTCTAGCGAGCTGCGTGACAGGGTTGATATTGCGATTTTGCTTTTAGGGACAGAAGAAGGTGTCGGGCGACTTGTAGAGAAGGAAGGAGTTGCTGTGACGGGGCCGTAGCGGCGGGAGGCATCGAAAGGGACTATAGCAGCGGTGACGGGGCCGGCAGTGATGTGGTTGTAGCGGCCAGTGGACGTGTTTGACAGGAAAAATTTTTGGGAACCGCCACGTCGGACAGGTGGGTATGGCCGACGGTGATCGTTCACCAAGCTGGACATCAGAGGCGGCTAGCAACGGCGCTGTTCTGCTTTTGAAGAATTGTATTTTTGGGGTTGAGGTCCTTCATTGGTAAACTAGATGTGTTTAGGGGACTTATATGCAAACTTTTAATTTATTTACAATTAGGTACAAAAGACAAATCTTTAATTTAATAAAAGATATATAAATGCATGTAAGATGCACACTATTTTTACCGAGGACGTGCACAATAAAAATTCAAGTAATATATTTTTTACGAAATTAAAGAATTGTGTCTGCTTACACATTTAAAAATTCACAATTTAGCAAAAAAGCCACCGCGATAACCGATATTTTAAAAATAAAAATAGATAATCGAACTGAAATTTTTATCTCCGTTGGTTTTGATTCATATTGTGTTGAATAATAGTTATTAATGTACAATTCGTCTAACACTATTGTGCACTCACAGCGCAAACATACCTAAAACAAAAATTTAATCGGCAAACCGAGAGTACTAGTACATGTTTTGTGTGTGTGCGTGAGGTGTTTACTGTATGTGTGTGTGCACGCGCACGTATTATTGTGTGAAAGAGAGGGTATGCCAGGGTGGACGGGGTCAGGTGGGTCACGTGGGTGGTGATGGTAGATAATGGGTTTGGGCATGGGTGGTATGTGCGGGCCAAGTGGTAGATATAAGAAAATATTCAATTATCTTAATGAATGTATAGTTTTAGCATTTTTCTAGGCGTTAGATTATACTCCCTCCTATTTTTTTTAAATGTCATTTTAGCTTTATCAATTATTTGCTAAATAAATGTCGTTTTGGATCTTTTGTACATATTTTTCCATTATTACCCCCATTTATCTAAGGCTAAATTGCATATAAAAGCATCACCTTTCATGTTTTTGCAATTTAATCACCACCTTTGCAATTTAGCAATTTAATACACCACTTTAGTTATTTTTTGCAATTCGAATCACAGGGCCCAATTTTGGGCCTGTTCTGGTGACGTGGAGGCTCGTTCTGCTGATATGGCATTTTTGTGATGACGTGGTGTTTTCACGTGTCAATAACGTGGCATTTTTGGGCTGACATGGCGACCCATGTGTCAATTAAAAAAATCTGAGATTTGATCCTGGGTTGAAGGGGTTGAAGGGTAGCTTTAGCTACCACCACACCAGTCCAACTTAGTTGTTAAATGTGATAACCCTTTATATATATACACATTACATTACATTAGCCTTATCTAATAAATATATCACGTCTTTACATAATCACTCTTCATCTTTTTCTCAAAACATTCATCTCTATCTTCATTAAATAAGGTTATTATTGACAAAAAAAATATTCTTAATAGATGTGCAACATCCCAAAACGACATCTATTTAAAATAGGAGGTCGTATGATTTAATATTCATGATATATTCTTATTTATCTAATTGATCATCATTTTAATATATTTAAATTTGCATTTGGCCTTCTAATAATATATGATTCCGTACCTCATTTTCTAACAACCTCATCTTCGATGGTGCTGCCCCAACTATACAAGAAATGCTGTCGACAACCATAATCTTCAGCCCCATCTCTAATCCCTCTCCAAGATTTCACTTTTTCTCTCCGATCCCTAATAGTTCTCAGCCGAGACTCAATCTCTTCGCTCGGCCCATTAAAGAAATGTCTTTTCTTGGCGGGTTAAGCTCCAAAATCAGCGCCATCGGCGGCGGCGGTGGTTCCGGTGTCGAAGGCGGCGATGGGTTTCAGACGCTGGCGGAGTTTCTAGGAAAAGGGGGCCAAAATGTGGGCGATGAGTTGGTGGTCTTGTACAGTCACTTGGTGTACGCCTGCAAGAAAATTGCAGCTCTGGTGGCCTCGCCTTTCAACTCAAATCTCGCGAAGAATTTCAGTGCTGAAAGCGGCAGCGCTGAGAGGGATCAGCCTAAGCCGCTCGACATCGTGGCGGTGTGTTTATTTTTTTTTTACATTTTCTTTTCAATTTTTGGTTCTGTTTTTCTTTCCTTTTTTCCCTTCATTTAGATGTTTTTGTTTATGAGATGTTGATGGGCTACAAAATTGTAATCTTGAGATAATAGTTATGAACAAAATGGGAGCAAAAAAGTAATAAAATCTAACTATCTTTCAAGAATTATAAATAGCAGCATTGGTTATCCTCTAAACAGTTATGCCCTCTATTTTCTTGGACAAATGAACCTCGGGGGACTGAGTGTATTGTAACTTTTAACAAGAAGTGTAATGTATTGTTATGCAGTCGGGCTAAACCAGAGGATTTTGTATCGTAATTATCCCGTATTTGGCCTCTCCCGGAAGGATTCTTTGTCTTGAGAACATTATTTGTTGATTGTAAACATATAACTCTGTGTTTCAGAATGAGATCATACTATCATCTCTAAAGAACTCTGGAAAAGTTGCGGTAATGGCATCCGAAGAAGATGATGCCCCTGTTTGGCTTGCTGATGATGGCCCGTTTGTGGTTGTTTTAGATCCTCTTGATGGCTCTCGAAACATCGATGCCTCTATTCCAACTGGAACTATATTTGGGATTTACAGACGTCTTTACGAGCTCGATCATCTGCCGAAAGAGGAAAAGGCGGCCCTTAATTCTCTACAGAGTGGGACAAAGCTTGTTGCCTCTGCCTATGTCCTTTATTCATCAGCTACAATTCTTTGTACGAGTTTTGGGTCGGGAACACATGCGTTCACACTCGATCGGTCAACAGGAGACTTTGTTCTGACTCATCCAAACATTAAAATTCCTCCTCGAGGTAATAATATAAATTGAATGGTAAATGAAAACAAACGAACATATAGTCTGATTACGAAATGCTCCCATTAGCTTGAAGCTATAAATTTGAAGTACCCCCTTTTGGCTCCTTTTGTATCGAGTGAAAAGATATAGTGATGCACTTCATCATTCAATTTGTTCTGTTTTAGGGTATTAGGAGTAGGGTTTTTACAGTCCCTGATAATTCAAGTCGAGATAGTGGCACATGTTGAAAATTTTACTTTTTGCCCCTGATTTTTGACTGATTTTGTTATGCCAGGGCAAATATACTCGGTAAATGACGCGCGATATTTTGACTGGCCTGAAGGCTTGAGGCAGTACATAGACACAGTTAGACAAGGCAAGGGCAAATACCCCAAAAAGTACTCAGCTCGGTACATATGCTCACTTGTGGCCGATTTCCACCGGACCTTATTGTACGGTGGGGTTGCAATGAATCCGAGGGACCATCTTCGTCTTGTTTATGAAGCTAACCCACTCAGTTTCTTGGCCGAGCAAGCTGGAGGACGAGGGTCAGACGGTAAAGTTAGGATTTTAAATCTTCAGCCGGTTAAGCTGCATCAGAGGCTCCCGTTGTTCTTGGGGAGTCCTGAAGATATTGAGGAGTTAGAGAGTTATGGCGATGTTCAACAAAAAGTCAACCCTGGATACGAGGTATGAATAAATGAAATGTGTACCAAATGTGTGTTGATTTGGTTTTTGCTGGTATCTTGATCGTGTTCAAAGTTGTAAACCTGAAATAGTTTCTTTGCTAATCGAACCTCTCGAGTCACATTGGTTGGGTTTGTAATGTATCGTTGGAAATGTATGCGCGAAAGATATGTGAATTTGTTGTCTGTGCCTTTCGGGAAGGCTGCAAACAAACCAATAATTCGATTTCATTATACAGATACAAAAAAAAAATGATTATCGAAGAATAATAATAATCATCTCTCGACTGGTCTACGCGCTTGCGTTCTGTAGATTATCGTCTTGTATGGGTTGATGTTGGTTCTTCTGCAAATTTAAAGTGGTTTTCCAGATGAGAGTCAACCAACACAAATGTGCTAGAGGTTCAGTTGAAGCCAGTTGTGTTTCGTGGTTTCTGAGCTCCACCGCTACGTAAACGACCAATACGTTCAAATTTTGGAAAGTAAAATAATTTTGTTGGTTCTTTTGAAACCGAATTAAGAATATCAGAAAAAGATTTTGACTGACCAAAAAAGGGTAAAAAGAAAAAAAAAATATTATAATCGCAATCATAATATTTCTATTAGTCCCCCTTGGTTGCCTAATTTAAACTGTGTTCAGCAGTTATTATCACTTGACAAATCAGTCAAAATCAAATACAAATTGGTCAACAAAAAGCACAAGCAAATAAATTTGCATCTTCAGAATAACGTACTCGCTTGTACTTGGAACAAAATTACACAGAAATAACAGAAACAAAACTTACCAGATTCTATACAGTAAATCTTCAATAGAAGCCTATCAGAAAATTTGCAAACTTCAAATAAATAATTGATGTCCTACAAGTTTTGTATTAGAGCTTTTGTATGCAAGCCATTTATAATCAATCATATTTAGGAGAAGAACAAATACTATAAGAAAGAATACAAACCCCACTCCACAAACATTAGATCTCCAAATCATCCAGGGGTAATTCGTACGATAACGTGCCCCGCCAAAAGAACTCCGCCCATATCATTCATTCCGAGAGTCTAAATATCAACCGTAGGATAAAGACCCGGCATAGAATTACGTCCACCATTAGAATCTCCATAATACGGAGAGTTCAGCTCGCCTGAATGTGAAGACTTACGAGACCTGGTGTTTTTTGGAGAAGCACTGTATGTGTCAGTCAAACCACTGCCCGAGTTATAGAAAGACGAGGTAGGAAGCCCGTGGATTTTTGGCAGGCCAGTCGGGTCACTACTCAAGCTGTAGCCCCTCTCCACAGACTCGGCTTCAAGGGGCAATTCATCTAGAGTCTGTATTGAAAAAGGATATTACATCATTTGTATGAGCAATACAGAATATGCTTGTGGATAATTGCAGAAAAGGGGGTACCCATTGATAAACACAGCGACCTTTGGTATTTACATTCCATATTTGAGGTGCAATTCGTGAATTTTTTAAAGATTGCTCCCGTAAACTTCAATGGTGCATTTTGTAATTATAAAAGCCACTTCAGGATTATCACTTACTCGGAATGCTTGCTGCAGGACCCGAAGTGTCTCTCGGGTGCGCTTTCTCTTCATGGACACCTCATCTGGTTCCTGCAACATCTCTTCGAACAAGTTGTCTCTGCACAAGACACAACAAAGCAGCAGCATCACCATCATTTTGGCTTGAATAAATAACAGACAAATTGAATTTTACTGTTCTCATGATACTTTTTGTTCTTTCATTACGCCACGAGCTTCAACATAAAACATCAACCATCCAGAATCAGAGCATACCTGTAAAGCTTTTTGATGAAGACATTATGAAGCTCTCGTTTGGTATGGTTTACCTACACAACAAAAATACACAACAATTGTTCAACTTCTCTCGGTCATGACGAGAGTAGATTTATACTGTAAGACAAACTGGGATACCAATGATAGTTGACCAAGTGGAAAATATAAATCGTATATCTGGACAGATATGTATAGCAGCTAACATACTTTTTCAGGAAAAAGAACAGTTGGGATTTCAAAATTAGACGGTTATATCTTCCATATTTATGGCGTAGAACTTCAAAACTAGCATTTGAATCTGACGCTCTATTATGCAAGTTTTAGGATCTTACAAGGCCCAGTAAGTAAAGCCAATCAAAGAGTTTGAAAATAATAAAATATTTAATTCATAAAAGTGCACAAAATTCTAGATAAATAATACTCCCTCCTATTTTTAAATAGTGTCGTTTTGAGAAGTTGCACAGTAATTAAGAATATTTTTTGCCAATAATAACCCGCATTCATTAATGAGGATAGAGATGAATGTTTTGAGAAAATATGAAGAGTGAATATGAAAAGACGTGTATTTATTAGCTAAATGAGGGTAATAATGGAAAAATATGTACAAAAGATCCAAAACGACATTTATTTAGTTAATTGTTGATAAAGCCAAAATGACATTTAAAAAAAAAAAAAAAAAAAAAAAAAAAAAAAAAAAAAAAAAAAAAAAAAAAGAGGTAGTATGAGATTACCAGAAAATGCATAATTGCTTTTGGTACAGAATCCTCAACATTCTTCCGTACAATATCATAATATGATCTTAGTAACAGCTTTGTGACAGCAATCTCAACAGCCTCTTGATCCGAGTGTGTTTCCGAGGGCCTCAATACACTGGGGGGCTAACATTAGAGCACCAAATGAGTAACAAGCAATAGAGGTTATACCTCTAACAACAACATTGACTTACAATACCAAAAATACTCAACATACCTCTCTCAAATAAATCATTGAGATGCCCTGCTCCATGATCTGAACAGGTTCGCTGAAGGGTTTGCTGGTTGAGTTCTCTTTCACGGATGTCCGATTATCATGGCTACCAAAAATAGAAGATATTCCCCAATTCGAACTAGCATTGCTAACTGGTAAGCAATTCAAGATTGCAATATCAGAATTGAGTCAAAAAAAAAAATGGCACCTAATCCATTTGCAGTTATCCCTAAAACACATTTCACAAACTTCAGAAATTGATTTCAGTTAATAGTATACTTTTGCCATCTTTCTGCAATAAACTACATCAGCAGAACTTCTGACCCTCCAGCAGATTAAAAAAATGTGTAGATTTGCTATGTACATCCATACAAAACTGATAAAGCACATACCGGGAGGTCCTGTCTTCTCAACTTCAGCAGTAGGTCGAGCATTCTTTTTCACCAAATAAACATCATCAGTAAACAAAACAATCAGTCATTTGGTGTGCATTTGGGGAGTGAGGGTGGTGGAGCAGAAAATTAGAGCATGTTGCATACTAACATTTTCACTCAAAGTGGATTTTTTGGTTATCTAGAGTTAATATTGAAAAGATGGTATGATTAGTTGTTAGTGAGATTTGAGATTTATATTAAAATAATATTTAAAATAAAATAATTAAAGTTGATTTGATGTAAAAGTAGGAGATGGTGAGTAGAAGAATGGTGAGTTAAAGTAGATGTGATGCGTTGAATGATTAAATGGTATTATTTAATTACATTGATAATATTGATGATATTGAAGTTGAGTTAAAGTTGAGTTAGATTTTGAGTTGAATGCACTTTTGACTGAAACTTTTGGTATACAAACATGCTCTTAAGTTTTGGGCCTGCTTCAGGCACTTGAACACATAATTACCTGCTCCGGAACAATTCCGTTCACTTGGCGGGCAAGGATAGCACGAGATTTCAGACTTCTCTCTGAATTTGGTGCTTTATCTGCATCCCCTGAGTCCTAATATATAAATGCAGATCATTCATTTACCAACAGATTCATAAAATAAAAAAGATGGTGAAAATTATCCTTTGGCACAGAAAAGTACCTTCGCCCTCGACAATGTGCCAATTCTAGAGGACTTAATCTGTTGTATGGCAGTCTCTACAGCTTTACTACCACCAATAAAATTTGGATGCGAAGTATTTATGTAATCCATCTACAGACAGGATAATAAGATTTCAGCAGTCTTAAACTAATATAAAAGCAGCCAGCCTGTATGGAGAAGGAAGACGGGTACCATATGAATAAAAGAAACTAAGTCATATTCTGCATTCAAAGATGGGTTATCAAAATGATAAAATAGCTGTACTCTGATATGGCAAAACAACATGACTGATAATGTAAGAAAACTAAAAGACATCATGATGTATATATTACCTCCATCTCAATAATATGACCGATCATTGTCTCTGAAGGCTCAAGACCTTCTCGCAAAAAATTTCCTATGACCTCATCCATGCGCTTTCTCAGGACTGGAAACCGTTGCATTTCATTAACCATACAGCGATGGCTCATCTAAAAGACAATATCCAGAACACATTCCAGATAAGATGACACCATATACCAATATGCCATTATAAAGTTTTTCAAACACACACCTTAATTAGCTCGTCATATATAAATCTAGCACACTGGAGACTTGGATCCAACAAACGAGCTATTTGTCTTCTGATGAGAACTTCAAATGGAACCTACAAGTTTGAGATATTTTGCACGATTGATTACTCAAAGGAAGCCAAAATGCCAAAACAAATTGATTACATTTTTTCACATAAGATGAAAACAAATACAAGCAGAAAGGTAACTATTCAGGCCAAACCTACTTCTGGCACAAATAATGCAGATTTAGGACCAGTCGCATTTTGAATGGCAGTACGGATGTCATCATCTGTTAAATCCTCACAAGGATCTACATCCTGCATAAAGAAAAAAGGAGGAATCAGATTTTTTTGAAGTTGATACAACCCAAGTGATTGGACATGGAAAGCTTCAAGAAGTCCCAACAGTATGCATAAAGTTAAAGGCAATGCAAGGCATCAGGTGACAGTTCTTGCAATCCATTGCCTTCCAAGGCGCTGAACTTCAATAAGATGCGCCAAGCTCAAAGCACATAGTGAGGCATGCCTCACTGAAGTTTAGGTGTTTTTTTAAGCATGGGCTATCGATTCACTAGATTGGGCATAATCCTAGTGTTTATTAGGCTGGGCAATACTTATA